CATAAGCCACAAAACCAGAACAACCCTATTGTAGATATCTCCTAACTCGCGTAACTGAACAGAGATTCGGTCCACGTTGGATACCCTCACCATGGATAACTAGTTCTCCCCCTACTTGGGGTTCGAACCCGAACTAACTGGTGTCTACAGTCAAAAATCGCCCCATTAGGGCTCAACCAATCCATCCCCACGATCGCCTTTCTCTCACGTAAAGGAATAAGAACCAATTCAATCGGATAACACTTGCTAAATAGCTCTAGAACACAACCCCGATGAACCTTCGAGTGACCACCATACTGAAAATAAACCATACAAATAATCAGAAAACACTCGAAGAATCTCACACCAATCAGATCCATTTGTATCCTCGTGACTCCCTTGACTTGAGTATGGATCTTATGCTTCCAGTAGTATGGGCCCAATACTACCTTCAACACCTATCCGTACTTTTCTCAAGAGTCGTCCCGATTCCCCTAATGACTCCCTAAACAACGCATCTACTAATGCTATCATGCTTGCTAGGTTCTCCTAGGATTCCCTTCCCACCACTCTCCGCCATCAGCTACAGAAGAAACCCCAACTAACACATGTTAAATACCTTACGAATATAATTACATTCCATAGACACTAGATAATTCTTCGACTACAAGGTCTCACACTACAACAGTTGGACTCAAACAAGAGTTGCACTAATAAAGTTAAACCTAACCTTTTACAATTATCTAATTTCCGCAACATGTAACCTATTCTCTTGATAGTCAGCTAGTAGTAGTAGTGGTTCCTAAAAGCACAAAGAAACCAATATCTGAGCATCGAGTTCTTATCAGAGCAGTGCCTAACAGGCCAGCCTAACATATCAGTAATCCATACTACCATGCAGTTCTAGGGGCTCATACAGTAAGCATACAAGGCATTTATGATATGATACAATCCTAACCAGATCCTTAGCCCTAATCTAGCATGTTATTCACATATTCACATACTGAACCAAAAAAACATGTATGAGTATTTTAGCAACACTTACTTGAGCACAACTAATTGCATGCATCACACCCTTCTTTCTAGTAGTAATCTCTTTAGAAAATCATTCATTTTCATAGATGTTTTTACCAAACCCTTAGTTTGAGTTCATACACACCCGAGAGTATGTATGAATCTCTAAAACCAAGGCTCTGATACCAAATTGTAACATCCCAAAAATCATAACGAAAAAATTCATTTTTTAATCAATCAAATATCTCAAATCAACAATAAAAGTATGCCAATGTGAAAATATTTATCAAAGTACAAATCCCAAAATTGCAGAAACACTGGTGGATGCGCTGCAATCAGGCCAGGGCCTTTCCCTTCGAACTGGGAGTACCTGAAACATAAACTTAAACCGTCAGCATAAGGCTTAGTGAGTTCCCCAAATACCACATATCATACATCAATCATACATATCATACTGAAATGTGTAACGGGTCTATTTCACCCATGAGTCCCTTCCGACTCTCTGAGTCCTTTCCGACTCGCTGAGTATTTTCCGACTCATTCAATATTTTTAAACCGATAAGGGTCTGTTTCACCCCTACAACTAAGCATACAATCATACTAGCAAGAGTCACAAAGACATCAAGCTCATACATACATATCGGTAAGTGTCTTAAATATCAGTACTATCCTACAACATAATCCAGTAGGCTAGCATTAGTGCCTTTGACCCACAAGTACAGTGAGGAAACTCACCTCAATCAAATGATGGACAGTCACACACAGGCTACTACTACGATGGCTCCTCAACTGAACATATTCAAACTAACACTAATAAATAATCAGGGTAATAACCACAACTAAAAGCCCAAATCATAATCCCTCTCACAAAGGGTAAAAGACCTTTTGTGAGACGTCTTAAATGATAAAGTCACATTAAGCACTTAATGCCTTTAGTCCAAACTTACAAAACACATATCTACCTCTTTGGAAACATCTTAAATGATAAAGTCATCAACTTGATGCCCTTGCATGGCTCAAATAGGCCCAACAACCATTTTTAACATTCTAACTCCATAATATGAACATAAACTCTTGCATGGTTGACCTAAATCCATCAAGATGCCATTTTTATGAACAAGGGACCTCAAAAACATCAAGATCTACTATTCTAAGCTTCTGGAGTAACTTATACTCACATGAATCAACTCAAGGGACCAAAATATGCCAAAAACCCTAAACTAACTAGATCTAAGAGATGATTCAACAAGGTTGAAACTTTATACCTCCAAAAGGATGATCAAGGTGAATAAATTCTGGATCCACAAGCTTAA